GGATGCATGAGATAGATTCTTTGCCTTGAGGCATCTTGTAGTTCAGTGGATACAACTATTTCATGTACTCATAATGCTAACTTAGGGTGTTAAATACTCTAAGAAAGGTCACGTATTGAATGCTATGAATTCATGAAAGAATCAAACTCTGCTAGAGCAAGGTCATGAAGGCTAGTAAGGAGCTTGCCAGAACAGGAAATAGAAGGGTGTCATGGACAGAAGAAACTGCTCAAGTAGTGATACAAATCCAAGGAGGGCCAGGGGGTCTGGGGAACTCCAATTAATTCAGTGTTGCTGGTGCATCACAGGCAAGGAGGTGAATAAAGAGAAAGATGAGGCTGAGGAATAGACCAGAGGTGACTGGACTTCATTCTGTAGGCAATGAGGCAACATGGACCATCTCCAAGAGAAGGACATGGTAACATTTATCTTTTCTTACAGCCCGATGCAAAAGTGATTTGGAGGAATGTGGTGCTTGGCACTAGTTAAAGAGCAGGCTAAACCTGGCCGACGCTAAGTGGTTAGAGTGTCAGCCACACACTGAAGGGTCTCGGGTTCAATTCCTGGTCAAGGGTACGTACCTTGGTTGTGGGTTCATTCCCTGGCTCTGGTTGGGGGCTGTACAGAAGGCAACCAATTGATGGTCTTTCTCCCATCTCTCTCTCTCCCTCTTTCTCTCTTCCCTCCCTCCCTTCCACTCTCTTTAAAAATCAATTAAACTATCATTGTTGAGGATTAACAAAAAGAAGAGCAGGCTAGAGGCAAGGTAATCAGTTTTTGGAAAATTGATGAATATGTGGAGATTAAATAATGTGCTATTGAAAAACCAATGGATCAAAACAGAAATCAAAGAAAAATAAAAAAAATACCTTGAGGCAAACAAAAATGTTATATTTCGAACATACCAAACTTTGTAAGATGCAACAAAAGCAGTTTTAGGAGGGAAGTTCATAGTGATTAAATGCTTACCTCATAAAACAAACAAAAAATCTCAAATAAACAACCTAACTTTACACTTCAAGTAACTAAAGAAAGAAAAACAAATAAAGCCCAAAGTTATTAGAAGTTAATAGTGAAGATTAGAACAGAAATAAATTATAATAGAGATTAAAAAGACAATAGAGAAGATCAATGAAACCAAAAACTTTTTATTTATAAAGATACACAAAATTGAGAAGACTTTACCTAGATTCACCAAGAAAAAAAGGGAGAACTCAAATAAAATCAGAATTGAAATAGGAGAGGTTATAACTGATACCACAGAAATACAAAGGATCATAAAGTACTACTATGAACAATTACATGCCATCAAATTGTACGACCTAGAAGAAATAAATTCTTAGAAACATACAATATACCAATTCTAAATCATGATGAAATAGAAAATATGAACAGATAATTACTAGTAAATACAGGAGAAGAAAAATGTTTTTCATCCATTGTTTGGAACTACTGCTGTAAAGCAAAGGGGAAATGGTGTTCAAGTGGGCAGGAAGCACCAGCGAGGGCAAAATAATTCAAATTCATTTCCTACATGCCTCTGCCATAGGAAGCCATCTGAACACTAATGTGGCCATCATTCTAACAGTGATCCCTGTCACCTAAAAAGCAATATGGCTCTAGTGTCAAGAGCAGGCTCTATAACCTGATTCTTTAGGTTTTTATCCCAATTCCACAACTAACTAGTTGTATGGCCTGTGCCTAACTAGGTCCCACTGTTTCACAGGGATATTGAAGTGACCTCAAAGAGATGAAATCAGATGATACAATGTAAAGCTGAGGATACAGGACCTGTCACTCAATAAGTGCCCAATAAATTCCAGCTGCTAGCTATGTCCCCTTCTCTTTGTTATAACCCTTAGTGTTGTCACCAAGGGAAACACATGCATATGTGGTTGTGGATATTTGGGTAATAATATCACTTCATTTTGTCTGCTGGCCAGTGTCAAACAAAACAGAGAAAGAATGCCCTCTGTTGGATTTAGGCAGAGCCAACAGAGGAGTATAGGAGCAGAGCTGGTATTTCTGTGGCCCTAAATGTGAAACCATAGAAATCAGGTGTTGAATCGACCTTGCCAAAGGCAGGGAGCACTTAGAGGTTAGAGAATCATGTTTTCTGTCCAATGTTAATGAGAACACCACGCCAGGGTTAGAACCACGTCCTTAAATCTCTGGCAAATAGACAGCCTGCTTCCACTTCTGAGATAGTAAAACAGTGCAAAGAACCTGCCTTCAGCTTCAAAAACCAGTGCAGGAAGGGAAACCAGCAGGCCAGGTACTAATTATAAAACATTTGGAGGAGCCCCAGAATAATTCAGAAAAGAAAAACTCACATATCAAACAGTTTTCCTTCTTCCCCAGTGCTTGACTCAAATTTCTGTCATTTGGAGGGGGGTGAGGAGGGGATTATTGAAAACACCAAAGTATTAAATTGGCTCCAAATGATCTGAGGCCTTAAATGCAGGAATGGGCCCCGCAGCGGTGGGCCTGAGTGGGTAACACCAGCAGCTCCCCTCAGCACCACATTCCTGTCGGCCTCACCAGGCCTCAAAAGCACAAGACTGGGCCTGACTGTATGAGACATCAGTGTTGGTGTCATCCTCTCGGCACAATGAGAAGAGAATTATAATGTAGTTTTTTGAAATGGTCTTTCCTCAAGCATATTCCCAGAAAAAAATAGTCCAACAGATGAAATTACCAAAAAAAATAGTTTAAAGTTTGAACGAGGAGAGAAATAAAGACCCCTTTACTATATCAAGTTGCAAGGCCTTTCTAACTGCATGTTCCCCTGTTTTTGTTCATTGGCCCAGATTTTTTTCACATTGGCTTTCCTGGAGCTCAAACAATGGAAACATCTGGATTCCATTTCTTGGACTAATAAGCGGTGGAATAAGTAGGCTGAAACGACATAAAACTGATTAGGGGAGAAAAGGGACTTCTACCCAATGTGATTCAGAGATGCATGTGCCTATGAGACACTTTCAAGGAATTAATAAGCCAATGATAAGCATTTTCCAATCAAAGATTAGCCAAATAGCCTGGCCAGCATGGCTCAGTGGTTGAGCGTCAATCTATGAATCAGGAAGTCATGGTTGGATTCCAGGTTAGGGCACATGCCTAGTGTGGGGCATACAGGGGGCAGGCAATCAGTGATTCTCTCTCATCATTGATGTTTCTATCTCTCCCTCTCCCTTCCTCTCTGAAATCAATAAAAATATATTTTTTAAAAAGATTAGCCAAATATAACCAAAGATTTAACCAAAAGTAGTGATAGCCTTCATCCTTGGCCTGAGGATATGTTTGCTCAGCAGTATATAACCACCACATCTATGAGAACCTGAGATGAAAGCAGATTCAATTTAGAAAGTACATACCTAAAGGAGCCACTAGGGATTTCCCTGCCTTTCACATGAACTTGTGCCAGTATTTAGGAATCTCTACTGGCAGGGAAGTCACAACTCCCCCAAATGCCCTTCTCCCTTCTGCCACTGACAAAGTGTGGTGCCCTTCTCAGATCTCCCTTCAGAAAAGAACTTGCTGATCATCTGCAAAAATCCAGGTAGCTGACTACCCAGCTGTTGGGACTTTCTGGTCTGCCCAGCCCCTCCTCCACAGAAAGCCCTAACCGTGATTGAGAGTGGTGCTGAGGCTAGGGCCTGGCCCATCTGCTCAGTGCAGGGCTGATTCATGGGACAGGAGGAACTGTCAGACCTGAACTGTGGTCTGAGGCTCAGCCTGCCCAATCCTGCCTCCATCCCCTTTTCTTGCAGAAGCGCTACCCCCAATAACGCTCTTCTCACTTCATCCCAGCATCTGCTTTCTGGAGCTTCCAACAGACACAGCCTATTTTCTAGTTTCCACTTAGAAAAACATCTTCTCAGATTTCTATATAAAAGCTCGGAGACTTCTGATAGAAAAATGAAGAGATGCTTTTCTGCCTTTATGCATTTCCTTTTAATAGTTCTAAACAGAATCGTGTTCACTTTTCCCTATCCCTGAACATTTTTCTGAGGGACTCATCATTTAATCTGCGCATGTTTCTATGTCCACCAGCCAGAGAGTGGTCTGCGGGCAGGAAGGAATTCTTCATTGTGTATGCCCACCAGTAGATAAAGTGGCATATCCTCCTGGAAATTTATGAAAAAAAGATTTTCTTTTCTAATGATTCTTTTCTTTACTGAATGGTAGAGTTTGCGCCATACAGAAGTAAGAAAGCAAAGGACTCACATTGCATGGGTGCTTTTATTTTTTATTTATTTATAACTTTTTATTGATTTCAGAGAGGAAGGGAGAGGGAGAGAGAGAGACAGAAACATCAATGATGAGAGAGAATCACTGATCAGCTGTCTCCTGCATGTATCACACTGGGGATCGAGCCTGCAAAACCTGGGCATGTGCCCAGACCGGGAATCGAACCATGACCTCCTGGTTCATAGGTCGACGCTCACCTACTGAGCCACACCAGCTGGGCACACGGGTGTTTTTATATGTAGAAATTGACATTACTTTAAGTGGAATTGGGCTTTAGAACTACTGCGTATTACAGTGGTTATGGCCATTCCTACAAATTCTTATAAGGATGTTCATTAAAAAGAGAGCCAAAGAATATTTCTCAATCTAAAGCAACTGGTAATGGAAATAAGGGCTCATATAATAATTGGCTTAATGAATTCCATGAGTGAGAGGGACACAGCAAATTAAAGTGTTCAACACCAAAAACAGTGATGGGACATTTCAACTTTCCAAACTGAAGACAAACAGCAGTGCTGATGGTGAATTGATGTGTCATTTCACTGTTGTTGGTTTTTAATTGTTGTTTTAATTTAAAAGAATACACAACTTAGGACTATACACAACATCTAATCATAGGTAAGGAGGAAAACTAGGTAAGGCCAAGTGATAGTATCAAAACAACAAAGGACTTGATACCTGATGCTTGTGTGACCTGGGTCTAGCTAGCTTAGATCTCTAACTAGGAAGAGAAAAATAACATTTGTTACCTTGACTTTGGCAGTACATCCTGAAAGTCGAAAAATTCCTTCAGATTCCAAACCCGACTCCTCAACCTTCTCAAAAAACTAGAAAACAATGATACATTACAAAAATAAATACCTCCAATATGACTGCAAACATCTGAAATAACACTGTTGATGACAACAAATGATAAATTACCAAGCATACATATGCGCCTGGTACTTGAATGCCTGGTTAAGTTTTCACAATCACCCTATGAGGCCAACATTAGCCTCTGATTTGCAAATGAGGAAATGGAGACTTAGAGCTGTTATATCTTTCCCAAGATTAACCATCAAAGTAATGGCACTGACACTCTCAACTTGTGCTCTTCACCACCAATATATGCTGCCACTTCACTATTTTAAGGTCTGATTACTACACCTCTTTCTGCAGATTGGCCAGTAAGAAAATATTCTAAATTCACTATCATGAGTTACAACCACTCTGGCTAAGGAATTATAGGAACTCAAGAAATACAACCAAGGGGGGAGAAATTATAAAGGGTTATAGCTCTCATGATCTCTCATGGTGATGGTGTTAAAATCAGTATCATCATCATAACTACTAACAGTGATTGTGTACTTTTTGTGTGTTAGATGCCATTCTCAGTACTTTACATCTATCAGCTCATTTAAATCCTCACAATAAGGCTAAGGAAGGTACTATTAGAATCCTCATTCCACGGCTGAGGAGACTGAGGCATGGTAAGGATGAATACTTGCCCAACTTCACACAAGAGTCTCTTGCTATTTTTCCTTTAAGACATAATGCCTGGAACTAAGGTAGCTCTTGCAGGCATGGAGAGAAATAGATGTTTAAGGGGAAGAAACACATCCACAAGAAAAGACTCTCCCATAGAAGTGGAAAGGTAATACCTCAAATTGTCTTAAATGAGGAACACTTCACACCAGTAGGAATAATAGCTGACATTTGTTGAGTTGCTAATACAATATAAATCCGGACTTAGTTTAGCATTTATTGTTCACCATCCATTTGCTATGTCCTGTGCTAGGTTTCTGCACTTACACAATAATATAAGTTCATGTACTGAATATTCTCAGTCTTAGGTTTTTATGCATTTTTCTTAAAACTCTGTCTTGTACAGAGAGGACAAAGGACATAATTCTGGTTCTAATTCAGGAAGAAAAGAAAAATCTTAGAGTCACAATGGACCGTGGCCTTGGATATATATTGAACTCCTTTTCCCATCTACCTCTTGCTAACTTGTGTTCATGGTTAAATTACCCTACCCTACTATTGCCTCACTTGCTTTATCAGTAGAAGGGACACGATAACACCAACCTCCTCTGGCTGTTCAGTGCTGAGGAGACGTGACAGGATATGGAAGGCACTGGCACAGCCCCGTGCAGGAGAGGCACCCTACAGATGGCCCCCATGCACACTGGCATGTTGCTGGCATCCTCTGCCATCCTCCCTGCTCCCACTGGGAGCTAACTAATCACCTAATTTGAGGAGTAGTTCAACTTTAATTAGTGGTAACAAAATTTAGAAAGATAGTGAAGAGATGGAGAATTATTACTGTGAATAATGCAAACATATGTTTCCTCAATCAATATTTTCACATATCATTTAGTAGTAAAACCTCAATTTAAAATTCAGTAAGACTTATGTTTAGGGCTTGGAATTTTAGTTATGCCACTGGATGTCACTGTTAAATAAATGCATACTTAGGTAAACTGGTGTAAATTGTTGGGTATAAAAAAAACATGACTTAAAAGCAAATGTGCCATTCACCAATGATAGGGAGATATTAGCATATGATAGTTCAAATCATATCACTTCTAAAACTTCCCAAATCAAAATTCCTCTTTGTCTAATTGTATCAAATCTTCCCAGTCATACCTAAAAAACTATCATAACAAGCTGATTTTTAGATTTTATTAAGCTTTGTTTGGAAAATTCATCTAAATGATTACTAATACACATTTTGAAATGCCCAACCTATGAAACAGTTCAGCAAATACTTGTATGATCAGTAAATAGATTACTGATAATTGTTTTATTTTATCTCAGACAGAATAATCAAATACACATAAAGACATACATACACACAAATAATATTTTTTTTAAAATACTGAATAAACCAGATATAACCAAAGTAAGCCATGTGACAGAGCATCTGTGTCCACCACCTGAAGCTTTATGGTCAACAGGCTCCAGAAGTTCACCACAAGGCAAACTGGTCCAAGTACTTGTGGGATGGCAGGGGCTTCATGGAAGGAAACTGAAAACGGCCTGGGCCTGAGTCCTCACAGGGCTTAGCTTTAGTGTCCTTAACTCTAAAGGGAAATCCATTAGCAGGTTTACAAATAGCAAACTGCAAGCATGAGGCTCTATTAATCCCCATTCATCTATATTCTACTCACTTTTTGTAACACAAGGGGCACTTTCACTCCAGGGTCCTTCTTCCGGTCACTCTCCAGCAGGACTGTAAGTGGAACTCCAAAAATCCCATTGTCTTCATTGGAAAATAGTTATGAAAGAAAAAAGCATCAGAATAACACTATCTTATTCCAAAGTGTCAAAGCGTTAAAATCAGAAGAAACCAGTCCTCTTAATTACCTCTTCCTTTTACTTTCTCTGTTTTGTTTCTCTTCAGTGGAATTCCAAAGGCATCAAAAAAGGCTGTCAATTCAATCAGAGAGAGATGGCGGATTTTCTTCATGTCTTCAGCAGACAGATCTCCTGCTTCAGTTAAGCCAAATCTGGTTTTCTGAACAATAAATTTCTAAAATATATATTAAGGATATTTATTTTTTATTGCAAAGAAAAATGACTATGCTTTCACTCAAATGCTACCTGGACATTCTAAATATATATGCTATTTGCAAAAAAAAAAAATCTCTGAGGAGCATGCTGCATTATAAAAAGATGATGAATGTAATTTTCAGAACATCTGCAGGTTACTACTATGCTAAATGTGAAGCAAAACAGTGGTCTGAAAATACTACAACATCATCATCCCAACCGTAAAAACTGCTTTCTTCTAAGGACCCTCCTAGATGGTTAACAGCAAACATCCCAGGCATCGCATGAAATGTACACACCATGGGCGCATGTGAGACAGGCATACAGCTACATCATCTAGGTACTACTCCCCGGAGAGCTTTCAATATATTTTTTATTTTGAACTATCAGTGCTTAAATCAGGCATCATCTGTTCTCTTCTGCATAGTTTAAAATACTGTAATTTCCAAATTGAAACTGATCGCACATGCTGCTGAAAGAGTAGTTATTTTACCTTCAAAATAAAATTTAGGTGATTCCAAATAGTCTTAAAAGAGAAAAATGCAAAGAAAGTGCCAAATAATCCTACTATCACTTTAAAGACAATAATATTGTTATATTCTCTATTTCCATACTAGAAAGAAAAATATACTAAAACAACAAAAAGCCCTTCAACAATCCAGAAATATTGTAAAGACTATGAGACCTTTAAAAAGCAAGACTGTTCTTATTAATATATAAGTATTGCTATAAATATTATATATAAATAATAATAAAATATAAGTATTAAAGAATAAAAATATAATCAACATATTATATAAGTATAATATATATATATATATGGTATATAACTAATACTTTTCTCTCAGAAAACCTAGTATTGGGGAAAAAAGTTAAAGTAGAAAAATACCATAGTTATTTAAATTACAAAGCTTTAGGTACACAGTCTTTATAGGGATTCCTTAAATTAGAGCTTCCTTGGGGTTTTAAATCCATCCACTTCATTCATTCATTCATTCATTCATTCAATCGACAATTATTCATTGGAACTCCAAGTATTTAAAAGTTAAACAACAAAATGTAGGATGTGTTTTGGGGCATAACTTGTGCTATTAAATGTTTAGTTATTTTATCTTCCTTCTGAGACCAAGGCCATATATAACAACACATAACAACAACAATATAGACAAGAACCACAATCATTTATTGAGCAATTACTGCATGTTAAACCCTATGCAAAGTTCCTTATGGGAGGGAGGCTGTCCTGTACCCTGGGTGTGCAAAACTTCAGGAGGAGACACACACTTGGATGAGGGGACTGGGGGCAAGCGTCCTCCCTTGGGCAGTTCTCTCTAAAGATTCTGAGGGACTCCCCACGAAACCAGAGTCCCACTGGACTCCCTCTCTTGCTCTAGAATGCCCATGTGCCCTTCGCCATAGAGGCTGCTTAGAGACCAAGAGGGTTTTGGGAGTTGAACACACATAGGTTCAAATCCTGTTTCTGCGATCTACTAGATATGGGTTGCTTAGCTTCTTTGGGCCTGTATCTCAGCTGAAAAATGGGACAAATCACAGGGATGATTACAGCTGAATACCTAGTGCAGTGTCAAGCCCATAGAAAGCACTCAGCGAGTCTTACAGTTCTTGCCCTGCCCTCTTCTTCCTCTCCATCATGGGATTCTTGTCTGGGAGAGATCCAGGCCTCCTGGGGCAGACCACCTGTTTCTAGATGACTCCCCCCTTTAGCTCTGAAACTACCTGAGCCCTTCTCACCATGCTGCCTGCCCTGGTCAGCAGAGCAATTCAGGGCTCCATATCATGAACTCTTCTCAAATGCATTTATTGAATAGCAGGCAGATCAATGTAACATAGTTCCTGTATTGGGCTATCAGGATATAATATCCTAGACATAATGAGGCTTTCAGGATAATGAAGTATGGAGCACTTCTTGCTCATCCATAATAAAACTATAAATTCTTGACTTTGTTTTTTGATTATTTTTTAGTGTCTGTCCTATAAGCTTTCATTTCTTGTTGTTATGACTATGACTTTCTGCAATGCTCCCATGTGATATGTGGGTCTAGAGGCACAAGTAGGTATACTGTTAGAATCTGCATTAACCTATAAGTAAGGACGCAAAGTGCATGAAAGCACACAGCCAGGTGGAGATCCTATTTCATCTCTACAACAATATTCAAGCACACACACCCTCACAAATCTTCCTCAACCCAGGGCTGCCAGCAACAGCCAGGCAGGTTTCTCTGCACAGCAAATAACGCCCGAGTTTATGATGCCTGGCCTCTCCCTATCTCTATGCACACCCAATGAAGTTTTTAAAAATTCTAGTTTGTGCCATGTAGAAGTCACAGGCAGCTAGTGGAATAATGATAAAAGCTATTACTTACAGTAAAAACATAGTCTTCTTTCTTAAAATCTGACTTCTTACATTTATTTCTTTTTGGAGCCTCTGTAACCATTTCTGAGTAAGATACTTCAAAGGACAGCTCTTCAGCTTCAGGTGGAATGTTCTTTACCCGATAATCATCATCTGAGAAAAAATGACATAGAATATTTACTATGCCACTTAATCAATCAATACCACTTACTTTAAAATAATCACAAACTATTTACAAGTAATCCATCAGCATGTTAGAATGTTTACGTTCAGGGAAAGGTGTCAGACCCAGTAACGTAGTATCCTCAGACTTCCATATGAATAAATGTCTATAATCACCATCTAAACAAATTTTCTATTTAATTGATGTTTTCAATTTTGGATGTTTGTCTCATGAAAGGCCTTGAGGATAACTAGAGGAAGTCCAAACATGGCATATTTCTATATATTATTATGATATTAAAATTAAGGCCATCTAGACCTAATATTGCTGCTATAGGGGAAGCATAAATTGAGTGGCCTACTTCCGGCTTGTTTGCAACTATTAAGAGATCCAGATTACTTGTGAAAGAGGCCCCAAAACAAAGACACTACCCAAGCGAGTGGTTTCTAAATGATATGGTGGTAGCAACGGAAGAAAAGATTCTGCTCCCAGTTTGGCTTTATTACTTTTGTCTGGTGGGACTGAACAGGGTGTTTGGAGGTGGAAGGAGTGCATGCTGGAGTGATAGAATCAACATGGGGAGAATAACATCTACATTTCCCTTTAAGAAATTCACTGCTAACTCTATGGAGCACCAGCACAAAAATGAGAAGACATAGCTTAAGTTCAGCAGGAGGCTGTGTCACTCACCACTCACGGAATTCTGAACTGACTGTCCAGGGCTGGCCGATCCATTGGAATGAACTGGTATATCTGGAATAGTCTCGAGGATAGACTGGGAAACAAGGAAGATGAACACAAAGCATTTACCATCAATACAGTCTACCCTACATTTCAATCTGATTTATGTTCTGTAGTATAAGAGAATTAAAAGAAATTCTTGAGCCTGCATCTAATTTCCTTTGTTTCTTCATTCAGTTCAGACCTATACGGCCCACACAATTACTCAACAGAGAACTAGGTCAAGGTTAAAATAAGTGCAGCTTCTTAGCTCTTAAATATTTATTGCTCATATCTTTCCTAACACATAGATATTACATTCTTGATGTCACAGAGTTTGACAAATATAGTATTTTTAAAATTGATTTTAGAGAGAGGAAGGGAGAGAGAAAGAGAAACATCGATGTGATAGACAAACATCGATCAGTTGCCTCCCACACACACCTGACAACAGGATATTGAACCCGCAACCTACGTGCCCTGACTGGGAATTGAAACCAGTCACCTTTTGGTGTATGGGACGATGCTTCAATCAACTGAGCACACTGGCCAGGACACAGTATTTGTTATTCTCTATTTTTGTTGTTGTTATTAATCCTCACTAGAGGATATTTTTCCATTGATTTTTAGAGAGAGTGGAAGGGAGGGGGGAAGGGGAAGGAGGAGGGAGGGAGGCTGGGAGAGAGAGAAAGA